AACTCTTAATCTTGAATTTTTGAAATCTTGAAACCTTAAGATCTTAAAATTACAACCTTAGAAGATAGAATCTTGCAACCTGAAAATATAAACATCCTCAAGTCTTCGAATCTTGACTTCTTAAACCCTCATGTCGTTGAATCTTCAGATGTTAAAATCTTAAAATATGAAATTCCGAAATTCTCAAAATCTTAAAATCTCAGAATCTTAAAAGCTTCAAAAACTTAAATTCTTTAAATCTCGAACTATTGCAATCTGAAAATCTTAAATTCATAAACAAGTAAAATATAATAAAATTCCTTCAATCCGGGCTATATTCTAAATTCCTTAAACTCTTAATCTTGAAATTTTGAAGTCTTGACATCTTAAGATCTTAAAATCTTAAATTCCGAAAGTCGCCAAATCTGAAAATCTCCGAAAAATAAAATCTTAAAGCCTTCGAAATCTGATAATAGATGGAAAATGGCTTGGCAATGGCCTGGCTGTTATAACCTTCAAAAACTTTAAATCGTTGAATCTTAAAACCTTAATTCTTAAACCATTGAAACCTTAAATTCCGACAGTCTTCAAATCTGAGACCCTTAGAAATCTCAAAGTTTGTAGAATCTCAAAATCTTAACATCTACTCATCGGACTTACCGGAAAGGGAAGTGACAGAACGGGCAGGGCAAGGTGCCCGGTGGCTGGCTGTGTCGCGTCAGCGTGTAAATCCGGCCACCGGACGTGATCGGGCCGCAGGCCAAGCCCGCAGGGCTTACCTTCAGGTATAAGGCCGTGCGCCCCATGCCGCCGACCATGCGCGGACCATGAGCAGAACATGAGCAGAACTTTTGTGCTGGGCCCGCCCTTATAAGGGGCGAAGGATTCGCGGATTGGTTTAGGCGATTTTTGTAGCATCTCCCCGCAGCGCCAAAAAACGAGTATTTTTGGGTGCTGCCTAAAACTGGACAACACCCCCAGCACTGCAAGCATCATCCCGGATGATGCGGGTGATGTTGTGCATGCGGGCGATGCGAAACAATGGGCTAAAGGAGAAATGCAAGGAAACAGGAGTGACTGGAAGTGAACGAAATGAAAATCAAAGGAATTGCACGAAAATGAAGAGGGCAATGGAGAGAGAAACCGAGATGCAGGAAAATGCAAGGCCTGAAGGGAGCTGAAACGGCAGTGAAGTGGAAGGAAGTGAAGGGACATGCCAGGAAACTGTCAGGGAAGACATGCAAAGAAAGTGAAGTTCAAATTATCCCGAGAAGTAACAGGACTTAGAGGGAAAGGAAATGAAAGAACGGGAAGGGGTGCCTGGTGGCTGGCTGTGTCGCGTCAGTGTGTAAATCCGGCCACCGGACGTGATCGGGCCGCAGGCCAAGCCCGCAGGGCTTACCTTCAGGTATAAGGCCGTGCGCCCCATGCCGCTGACCATGCGCCTACGTTTTGCGCTGGGCCAGCCCTCACGGGCCCTTGTAAGGGGCGACGGATTTGCGGATTGGTTTAGGCGATTTTTGTAGCATCTCCCCGCGGCGTCCAAAAAAAAGCGTTTTGGGGGGGTGCCTTATACTGGAGAACACCCCCAGCATTGCCAGCATCATCCCGGATGATGCAGATGATGCTATGCATGCTGGCGATGTAAACCAAGGGGCTGAAAACTGCAGACAACGAAGGGGAAATGCAGGGAAACAGGAGTGACTGGAAGTGAACGAAAGTCAAAGGACTTGCACGAAAATGAAGAGGGCGCTGGAGAGAAACCAAGATGCAGGAAAATGCAAGGGCAGAATGTGAAGGGAGCTGGAGAATTGCACGAAAATGAAGGGGGCACTGAAAAAAACCAAGATGCAGGAAAATGCAAGAAATTGTTGGAAATTGTGGGAAACGAAGAGCAACTCATGAGAAATGAAGGGATGTGCAGGAAACTGACGTGAAATGGGACGCGAGGTTGAAGTCAGGGGAAGTGCAAAGACCTAAGGGAAAGGAATGCGAATGACGGGGCGTTCAAGGAAATGAAGGAAGTGAAGGGACATGTCAGGAAACTATCGGACAGGCAAAGGAAGCGAAGTTCAAACCCCGGGACCTAACTGGAAGTAAAGGAACAGGAAATGAAAGAACGGGAAGGGCAAGGCGCCCCGTGGCCGGCTGTGTCGCGCACCGTGTACATCCGGGCGCCCCGAGTTCGTGGTTTTCTTGGAGGCCTTCGGTTCCCTCTAACCGAAGGTTATAAGGCTCGCGCCCCCTGCCGCCGACAGTTCACTCTAGCCCCACTCTAGGTTCACTCCACGTTCACTCCGTGTCGAACGGAGGCTGCGGCGATTTTTGACGACTTGTTGAGCATATCACCTGCATCGTCCGCATCCATGGCGGACATTGATGCGGATAAGGCCGGTGGTGCGGGGGATGCAACTTTGCCGAGAACGTGCAAAAACACAGTGTTTTTGAAGGTTTTTGGCGGGTGCAAACGTGGAAAATATGGAAACCTGCTTAGCAGGCAGGCTTCAACGGTCCCGGCCGAACTTGATTTTTGGTAGGCTTTTCGGTGAACCGCGGAAAAAACACTGTGTTTTCGATAGTTTTGTATGGATTCAAAGCCGGGCGCAAACGTGGAAAATGTGGAAACCTGCTTAGCAGGCAAGGCTCACCTCTCCCCGACCGAACCCGATTTCTGGCAGCGTTTTTGGCGAACCAGTAGAAAAACCGAGTGTTTTTGGCTGGTTTTGTGTGGGTTCCAGGCCGCACGGTTGCGAAAATCATGACAGCACGTGGAAAACTGATGCTTTTCGGGGCGCCCGGCTGTCAGGCGTAAGCCCTTAAATAAAATAGCCGATGATTGTCATCATAGTCATCACCTTCATCATCGTCATCATCTATACATTTCAACTGTGGCGATGCTGGTGATGCCAGACACGTTTTCTTGCCACACGATGCCCTTCTATCTCGTCAAGAAAAAGCAGCTCTCAGCCCCGCTCTCTACCCCCCCGTCAGCCGCAGCATCCTGTGCATTACCAATACACACGCCCGGGCGATGCTGGTGATGCCAGACACGTTTTCTTGCCACACGATGCCCTTCTATCTCGTCGAGAAAAAGCAGCTCTCAGCCCCGCTCTCCACCCCCCCATGAGCCGCAGCATCCTCTGCGTTACCAATAGATGCCAGACACGTTTTCTTGCCACACGACGCCCTTCTATCTTGTCAAGAAAAAGCAGCTCTCAGCCCCGCTCTCCACTCCCCCATGAGCCGCAGTCGCGCCTGGCGTCAGCACGCAAGCAAGCATAGGCTAGGGAGCATCAGCCGCAGCATCCTGTGCATTACCAATAGACACGTCATCATCATGATGATCATTATCATCTCTTTCTTGTTCTTATATGCATTTCAAAAGAAACGCTAGACACCATTGGCAACGAGGATGCTACGATGATAGTTATCATCACAGTCCTCCTCCTTATCATCACTATCATCATGGTCATCATCATCTCTTATTAGCCGGCACTGATGATGCCGAGGATGCTACGATGATATTTATCATCACAGCCCTCATCTTTGTCATCGTAATCATCACGGTCATCATCGTCTGAATGTAGTTCCCCAGTTTTGACTCCTTGTGGAAATGTGCCGCGCCAATAGTTCCACTCTTGCGGAAGGTCCGCCACGGACAAAGCATGTGACCATCGCTTGGCAACTATGCCCTTGTATCCAAACCGGATGAACGTCTTGATGAGTTCCTTGGATTTCTCATCTTGAGGACTGAGGAATGCGTCTGCTTCATTTCGGCATATGATGCGCGCGCTGTTCTGCATCATCATCCTCGTGATTGGTCGGATTGCTGGGAGACTTTCAATGTGACAATCTGGAATTCAAGATTCAAGATTCAAGCTTTCAAAACAATCTTTTCTGGAATTCTGGGATATTGAGTCTTACTTCCCATATTAAAAAAACTGGGATTCAAGATTCAAGATTCAAGAACATATTTTCTGGAAATATTGAATCTTGAATCCTGAATCCCAGATTTTAAAAAAAATGGGATGCAAGATTCAAGATTCAAGATTTCAACATAATATTTTTCTGGAAATCTTGAATCTAGGGGCTCTAGGGGAATACTAGAAGAACACTCAGGGAATACTAAACGAATACTAAGGGTGAATACTAGGAGAATACTAGGGGAATACTGAGGCAATACTAGGGGAGTATTCAGGGAATACTAGGGGAGCACTGAGAATTACTCGGGATATACCAAGAGAACTGAGGCAATACTAGGGGAATACTTGGGGAATACTTGGGGAATACTTACTTGGGGAATACTAAGGGAATACTAGGGCAATACTAGGGGAAAAGTAGGGGAATACTGGAATTCTAGGGGAATACTGGGGGAATACTAGGGGAATACTAATAAACCAGAATACGAGGAGAATACGGGAATACTGAGGAAATACTAGGGGAGTATTAAGGGAATGTTGCCAGATGTTTAATCATCTGCTTCTTGCCATGATGGACTGCAAGCCCATTCGTCTGTGCTCAAAATCTATTGCAAACAAATCTAAACTCTACAGCCTGCGCGCTCAAATCAAGCAAAACCTAGGCACCAGGGGGGGGAGGGGCGTAGCATATATATACATATGTATATATATATATATATATTAGTGTTCCTGTGTCTCTGTCTGTGTGTGTGTTTGTATCCTTGTACTGTATGTGTCTGCGTGTATTTGTGCATGCGTGTGTGTCTGTGCCCGTGTCACTGTGTAACACTCCAGTGCCACCTGACCTCGCTGCCGAGTATCCATTTGGAAGGATCTTTATCATGCGGAATACCTACTTGGAGGGCATAGGTTTATAGGGTTGCCACTCAGCTCTCCTGCAAGCATCCGCGCCTCCGACCCTCCCCCCCTCAACCCTAGAATGTTGGCCTGGGAACTTGGTAGGAGAAAATACTTGGGCTTGGAGAGTTATTTGTTCTCAACCGTTCCATCCTTGCGGCCGGAATGTAGTAACTGGGTGGCGTTGGCTGCCCCGCATGTGTCCTCCAGCTTGTCACGGACAGAGCACAGAAAGGTGACGGCTTCACGCCCATCAACCAAGCGGTGGTCGTAGGTCAATGCAGTAAACCTGGTGAAGTGTTGGAAGCAGCTAGCAGGAGGGAGATGACAAGTGCCGGGCATAACTGGCCGCGCTTCAACTTTCCCATCCACCACAGCCACCCGCCGCTTTACAGCATTTGTGCCTTGAAACGAGCCAACAGCATGCACACTGCAACCACCTGGCCCCACTTGGAGCCGTGCCCATCGAAGCACTCTGCGGAAAGTTTCTGCGCAAACAAAATGATAGCTGATTGACACATGACCCATCAGCCAATCTGTGGACCGCACATGATACCGGTGCCCAGCATGCTCCCAGCAATGCCAGAATCCACAATGCCGAAGGTGGAATGACTCAAGTCAGCCACGGAGAGCTCGTCTCGAGCGGCTCGATCTGTGAGCCTAGATTCTCACAAGAAAATTGGTCTCGCTAGTCAACTGACTGAGGTCTGCACGCTGCAATTTCATGTTCCATATCTCGTATTGTCATGCTCTGCGCGTCTTGCAGAGTGCATGCAATGATCCCACGCGGGCTTGGGATGGGGATGCTGATGTCAACCTAAGCTGGTAGGCGGCAAACCACTCAGAATGCCTCCTTGCTAAGGCGCCGGCATAATCTCGATAGACTGCTTCTTTTGTCCTTTACCACATGCAATATCTACATGCCATCAACCATCAGCGAATGAAATCGCAAAGCCGGTCCCATCGTCAATGACAGCATTCACTCCAGGCACCTGCACATGCTGAGCATCACTAAGGCATCTCTTTCATCTTGGATTTGGTTGGACTACAAAACGGAACAGGGCATTACAGAAGCCACGTTCTTGCGTTCTCACTCCTGCCATCAGACTGTCATTGTTTGCGGAATCAAGAGTTGCCAGGGTGTCCAGACACCGCAGAGGTGGACTTGAATTCTGCTACTTGTCTTTTCACCTATCATTTCATTCAGACAACAAAGACTCCTGCCCGAGACATCCCGCCCAGCGCCCCACTGCCAGACGTGCCAAAGAAAGACTTGATTGTCTCGACTAACCCTTCCGAACCGACCCGCACCTCCGCAATGGCCAAGCAGCTTGCCTGGAGTGCACAAGGCCGAATACTCAGAACACAACTTAGTGCATGCCCGGCCTTTGCGATGAGAGAGAGTAATCCCAATTGAGACCCATGAAGCTTTGAGAACATGTCCTGCAACAAGTGAATAATGTGCCATGCAATGAAAGTCAACGCACGGTGCTAAGCTTCATTCTTCCTACTCCAAATGATGTCATTCTGTCCTTATACTTGGATCGCAGCTTTAAGGCTGCCGTCATATCGACTTCCTTCAATGTGACGGCATGAGTTCAAGCAAACTCCTCGCAGCAAATACCCCAACCTGAAAGGTGGAAAGCAGCGCTGCTGTATTCTGTGTTTCCTGCAGCCATATGAGTTCCACACTCCAAGACATCATCTCCAAACCGTCTCCCGAGGGCACGCCTTCAACCTCTTCATCACTCGTTGCCGAACGAACGAGACAGGGACGCGTCGCTCAGTGCAGCCCTGGACAATATGGAAAAGGCAAAAAACAAAAACAGAACAAAAAGCACATTCCAAGTTCTGTCGCCTCGCCAACACTGACAGCTGCTGGGGCTGCACCAACCGATTGGGAGGACTGCGCCGCAGCGGAGGACTGCGCCGCAGCGGAGGGGCCAGACGGGGCCTGCAACAAGCGGCCAATCAGTTCATCTCGGGCCGCTGAGGCGTAACTGCAACTTCAATTAGAGGAGAACCGATAAATTCGGCTTTAAATTTGGCTTACATCTCCCGTATGCCGCGGAAGTGGTGTGCTGAAGCTGGTCGAGATTGCTGCACTCTCTATACATACCTCAATGATCATGTATGCAGTTTTTCCCTTGCAAATCCGCATTGGAGAATCCAAATGCATTCGCCTCATGAGGTGAAAACCTGAAACAAATCGTCGTGATTCACAACGGGCGTGCGGTGTTGCACATCTTGTCTGGCAGGTTCCATCCCCTGATTGAGAAATACCAGACGTCTCGTCATGAGTTATGTTCAATTGAAGAGTTGCTTATGATTGAAAACAAACAAGCAATCACATGTGTATACAAACATATATATATATATATAATAGTTCAGGTCACCTACGTCTCTGCGGATTGTGTAAGCTTATGTGGCTTGTACCCAGAAACAACAACAAAAAGCAGTGTACCTGCACAAAGCCACAAGAAAGCAAATCACGAAGGGACGTGCAAACCTTGGAATGACCAGTCAGCCACGGCGGTACAATGCGCAGCTCCGGCCTGAAGCGGCAAGCCCAGGCGTTGAGCAGCTAGATGAGCGAAGGTTGCTCTCAAGCCTGTGAGGCCTGGTGCATGGCCAAAGTGTTTCCTCTGAGCACCCGAAACCCGAAAACCCGACACCCATTGAAAGCCATTGACTTATTTGACTTTTGGTTCCAAGGTTCATGGCCTCACTATAAATCCCGTCGGAAGAACCCAATTACTAAGATGGCCAATGGATGGGCGCTCTGATCTTATGAAACGTGCTTGGCGTGCTCGAAGCACTTGCAACACTTGTACTTGTGGGAGAGGTCCCTGATTTGGCTTCGAATCCAAAATGAGACATGTGTACACTAATTGGCACAATTTCCATGTATTGTTTTGCCTGATTGTTTTTAATCCAGCACAAGATTTGCGCTTCGTAGCCTTAAATGCACTTGATGTACTGACCAATCAAATGCGAGGGCCTGATGAGCTGAAGAAGCGTGCCTGGAGCTCCTCGGCTGTGCAAGATTGGAATACTGAAAGCTCGTTGACACGTCTGACCTGGACACCGTGAGCTCGTGGTGCCAGGCAATCACCGGCTTGGAAAGCGCCTTAGTGCTGTGCTTGCATGACGTTTGTGAATCTAAAGACTTGCTGCCTGAAGCCCTCTTCCAGGCCTCGGTACTTGTCTTGCAGCATCACAGGCTGTTGCATAACAAAACATTGGAGTAAGCACTTGCCTAGCACGTATTGTGCTCTGAGGGCAGTGCATTTGATGAATAGGCTGTGCATATGGTGTGTCGCCACCGGGAACCAACAAGAACCTTAAACGTCAGATCATGCCACCACTGGTCGTGAGGTGCTTGGGGCACTCGATGGCGAATAGTTTTTGCAGCTGTATTAGCTGCAAGCGCCATTGGGGCCTGCCAGCAACATTGTCAGAACAAATCGATGCCTGAATCAGCCAAACAGCATGCTTAGAGTAAACAGACTGCTTCAACGGTGCAGTCATACATAATCGAGTGCTTCCCGATATTGACTCAGCACAATCAAGAGACTGTAGCAACAGACTACAAGAGGTGTGCTGGACACAATCACCTTATCAGCTATAATTCCCCTCCCTAGCTTGCGCAAGGCGCATGCAGCATCTTCTGGATCATCACCTGCATCAGCCTACATCAGTCTGCATCATCTGTAGCATCAAGGGCCAGGTTGACGTCGGCTGCTGCCCCCGCATCTGTGTGTTCAATACTAGAAGATCAGGCGACGTGAAGGTATGGAATATGGGTGCTTGCAGGGTAGTGCGGTTGATCAAGCAAAAAATCAACAGAATGATATGTATGCTGCAATCGCTGGCTGAGACTTTAGTCGAATGTCAACGCCAAGCACGAATTTTCCGGACATGTGTCGCTAACGTTTCAGTCTGTACATCGGCATTGTTGAGCCCGTGCGAGGACCTTTCCAGATTGTCAATGGCGCGGCGGGCTTTCAACTGCACCAGCAAACGTGCACTCACAAGGAAGGAAAATCCACGTGCTGCATGTTAGCCGGTATCGTTGACAACCTGGTCAGAAGATGCTTTTGAATGGAGAAGCCTGTCATCTGATGTTCTCGGGGAAATTGACACACGCAGACAAATGAACTGACATTGACAATACTTTTTGCTCCTGGACCTCAGGATAAGCCCTGGAAATAGCTGAGGGAATTCGACCAGCCTCCAGCACCACAGCCCCAGGCTCTTTGTGCTGACGCTTGGGCCATGCAGCAGAAATCAGAATCCAAATGAGCAACGGCACGTAGGACGCGGCACCGCTCTCTTACGATCTCTCAGGAGGCTCATCCCCGCCCAGCGCCCAAACAGCCCACCTCCAGCACGACCTCAATGGCTGCAATTCACAACAAACACATCACCAGCTTGCTGGGGGCATTGCCACAAAGCGTTGGGTCCGCTGCTGCAGCACGGCAGATATCCTGCAAGCAAATATTTGATGTGCAATCGGAATCCATAGCGCCGTGGCGCACAGATTGGCATTCTGTCACCTGTTCAGGTTCTCTGAGATTTGTCTGAGGATTGTTTTGGGTTGGTGTTCGGGCTCGAGGAATCCAGTAGTCCCAACACAATTGCATGGAAAAGAGACACAGAGTCGATCTACAAAATTACACTGCGAGGTCCAAAGAAACGGCCAGCCATTGATTTGTAGCCGCAGCATGTTTGTCTCGCTCTGCCCCAGTTTCACTAAATCCCTGTGCGGCACACCAGCCAGGGAAGAAATCAGTGGAGGCCATGCAAACGTGATCACGAAAACCCGCTGCAAACGGACGAGACCAGGATGCCAAGGATGTGAGATAGTCGTGTGTTTCTTTTCCGCAGGACTGGAGCACAATTCAAGCCGTTGGGTCGCATCCTTTGGCCTTGGCTTGCTTCCCTCGAGACGTCGTAAGTTGGCTCAAGAGTTTTGAAGTCTGAAATTATCAAGCCATCGTCTCAGCTTGTTACACTATGGTGTTCTATCATATCCGTTGGTGACGCTCCACAGAAGGTCCTCTCAGGCAAGTGAACTGCAGGGGCATCATCGGCAACATGGATAAGCCCACCGAGCTCTGCAAACTCGCCCAGCGCACGGCGTTGCTGCGGAGACCAGCACCTGAGAGTGCATAGACACGTATGTGCATCCAACTGAAAAAAAGAACCACACCAGCACAAACCCCAGATAGCGAAAAAACAGGCCGATCATGCGTACCAGCACCTGTTTTAGCAGCCCCCGAGGAAAGAGCGCCCCCAACAAACACTCCCAAAGCACGCGTCCGTCAATCTTGCAAAAAATGCGCCCTCACCTCTGTATTGGAAGTTATTAGAAGTTATTAGAAGGTATTAGATTCAACCCCTATAGCTTTCAGCTATCTGGGAATGAATGAGCTGAGATCACTGAGCTGGTGCACCATGGAGCCTTCTCCAATCGTCTGAGCCAGCTCACCATCTTTTGCGAAGCAGGCTCATCAGGATCCGGGGACAGCAGCGTTCGACGGGCGAAGCCCTGGCAGGAAAGAACTGCCACATTGGGCGGACCAGCCACAAAACTGGAAAGCAAAATCCGCACAAGAATTGGAGTGCAATGTTGAGGAAAAGAAACACATGTTTGTCCCGAAAGGGGGCACCGTCCGCATCATCATGTCTAGGAGGGGCATGCTAAGTTGCTTCTCCATTTGAGGCCAAATCATGTGCATCACTTGCATCGCACCACTGCGGCGATGGCATCAAAAGTGTGCCTTGCTGCAAAAAGAACCAGCAGCGTGTTTTGCTGGCAATGTTGACGATGTTGCTTGTGATTCTGTCAGTGATGCTAGTGATTATGGGGATGCAGGTGTTGCTGACAATGCTGGTGATCTGGAACAAAAATCCTGAGACGACGCATTTGCTGTGCCTGGGTGCCTGGGCTGGTGCCTGGACTGCTCCTGGCATTGCCGGTGGCTCTGACCAGGGCTTCCGCTGTGTCATTTCTTTGTGATGTATTGTTCGAGCTTTGCTGATGCGCTGCCGCAGGTAAGAAGTGGCGATGTTAGCTTGAAGTGTACTTGTCGTGCTGGGGCTGGACGACTCTGGGGCTCAAGCAGCACCAGCAGCAGCAGCAGCAGCAACAGCAGCAGCAGCGGGCTCATCATCATCATCATCATCATCATCATCATCATCAACTGAGGCCACTGCCTGCACCCCTTCAAAGCAGACTCCCTGCACAAAAGCCTGGCAAAGGATGTGTGTCTGCGTTTCTTGAGCTCCAAACTGGCTCCTCCAATTGCTCTCTGCCAGCCGCTGCATGGTTGTTCCAGGCGTCATCCACCTGCCTGAAACGTCTGAATCCTGCAATACTTCTTCTCTACAAATCTTGAGGCTTGGACTCATAGAAACGGTCAGCTGCTATTGCAAAAGTGCGCAATGAAGCCAATGCTGGCCTTACTGGATGATGAGGCACAGATCACTCCACATTTATGCTGGGCAGCACGCAAAATGTCTGTCTCCAGCTTAGTTCGTAAGCGAGCCAGGTCTTCCTTCAAAGCAAAATGGAAAGCCGAATTTTGGCCTCGACATGATTTCTCGCTAAAGGCCTCGTGTCCTGTCGCTTCCGAACTCTCTGCTTCAATTCCTGCCGTGAGAAGCGCGTTGGCTGAAGAACTGCACGCGAGGCGGAAAGTACGTGGGTTCCTGCCAAAGGACGAAGCCTGGTCGCTGAACATTTTGCAGAGCGCTCCTGCATCTACACTGGCAAGCCCTGTGAACAATGACTGCTGAGGGTTTTGAGCAAAACACACTCCTCAATGTCACAGAGAAGCTGCTCCCCACGACACAGGGTCAAACCCTGGCGCTTTGCCGCCTGCACAAAAAAAATATGAAACTCTTATGATTCCAATCTCCAACCAGCTGATTCACCTCAGCCTCGTGCGCGCCAAAGAAAACTTCTGAAGGCACCTTGTGACGAGGGGTGACAACATGCTAGCATCAGCACGGTTGAATCCCTCAATGCTGCATCACAGGTTTTTACGCTGCATGCTTATGGGGGACAAATAAGCAAGAAACACGATGGGTTCAACAGTTCAACGGTGCGGCCAAAAATTGCCAACATCCATCCAAGCATCACAAAATCTTGACAAGGCAAATGCACCTTGTCAGGCGAATCGTGTAGACTGCAGAAGCCATATGCTTTTCGAGGATCAAACCACTTCACTGCAACCTTGGGACAACTGTCAGCGAAATGCGCCGACCCCTTCTGCCAAAAGGGCAGGCGCACGGGAAGGGTGAGTTCATCCCAGGTCTTGCATGTGCTGTCCTGCGCCGCCGACCCCTAACCTAAACAGAATCTAAAGAGTATGAGAGAGAGATGTGCAAGTCTGATGGTTCTGCGCTGATGATGTTCGGCATGTTACTTCTGCATGCCCTTCAGCCGTTCACTCAAATACCCGGCATAAGAGGCCATGCTGGTGATGCCGGGGATGTTGCTGCTGCGTCCTGTCTCTCTTATATTCTTGTTACGGGTTCCTTTTGGGGCGCATTGGGCGATATCATCATCATCATCATCACCACCACCACCACCACCATCGTCATCATCATCATTCTCTGAAACAAGAGTTCAGCTGTGACGTTAGGCAGCGCTGGAGATGCTACGATGATAGTCATGATGACACGGATGATGACAATCGTCAGCAGGCATCGCTGTGACGTTGGGCACCGCTGGGGATGCCACGATGACAGTCAAGATGACAAGGATGATGACAATCATCAGCAGGCATCGCTGTGACGTGAGGCGCCGATGGGGATGCAGAGGATGCTACGACGAAAGTCACGATGAACAGCAATCAGGCTTCATCATCATTGTGGTCATCGTGATCATCGTGATCATCGTGATCATGGTGGCCATCACCATCATCATCATGGCAATCACAACAACAACTCGAGCGGAAGGGGACACGAAACGCAGCATGGGCAACAGCAGCAGGTCATGTTGAAGGGACAAACCTGGTTCAGGGCAAGAAAGAAGGCTGGAAATTCTGGTGCTTGGGGCCCTTGTTTGGAAGGCAGCATGAGGCGACTGGATTGAAAGAAATCCGAGTTGTGTCCCGGCAGGGTTGCACGGCCGCAGTTTCGAGCGCAGCTTTTTCACCCTTGGGGCAGTTAGTTTGTCAGTTGCCACGGGCCTGTACGCATATGCGCAGGGTGCATCATTTTTTGCGGAGGCTGACAAATCAGAATCCGCGCTTTCTCTGCACCACTTGCACTCGAGTCATGAACGATTTCGACGTGAGTTCAGTCGCAGAAAGAGGCTACCAATTGCTAAACAAAACCCACCTCGCAAAATAAGGGTCACGCGTCATGAACGATTTCGACTTGAGTTCAATCACAGAAAGAGGCTACTAACGATGAAAACGACGTGAGTTCAATCGCAGAAAGAGCTACCGATTATCAAAACAAATCTACTTCGCAAAATCAAGGGTCCGCCAAACCAGAGAGGAAGACCACACAGCAGACCAGGGAGGAGTTGAAGGCGGGCAGACGGGGAGCGGGGGGGGTTTAGATAAGGAAGTACTCAAGGTAGCAACCAAAATACCTCTCGTGACCATCATCATCATAAACATCATGAAGCGAGCTATGTTGGGTAAAGCCACGCCTGCCTGTCTCCACCTGGCTCCGCCACCCCCGTGGCAAAGACAGAGGCGAGCCAAAATGTCGGGCAAAGCCACGGCCACCTGTCTCCGCCACCCCGTGGCAAAGAAAGAGGCGAACTACAACGTTGGGCAAAGCCGCAGCCGCCTGTCTCCGCCACCCGGGTAACAGAGACAAAGACGAACCATCATGTCGGGCAAAGCCACGGCCACCTGTCTCCGCCACCGCGTGGCAAAGACAGAGGCGAACCATAATGTCCCTGCGGCAAAGAAAAAAGGAACCAAAACGTTGGGCAAAGCCGCTGCCGCCACCCCCATGGCAGAGACAGAGGCGAACCATCATGCCGGGCAAAGCCACGGCCACCTGTCTCCGCCACCCCCGTGGCAAAATCAGGGGCAAGCCATTTTGTCGGGCAGAGCCACGGCCGCCTGTCTCCGCCACCCCCCGCGGCAAAAGACAGAGGCGGACCAGAATGTTGGGCAATGTCACGCGGCCGGGCAAAGCCGCCGCCGCCTGTCTTCGCGACCCCCGTGGCAAAAAGAGAGGCGAAGCATAATGTTGGGTAAAGCTGCGGCCGCCCGTCTCCACCAACCGCCGTGGCCAAGACAAAGGCGAACCATATGTCGGGCAAAGTCATGATCACCTGTCTCCGCCACCCCTGTGGCAAAGAAAGAGTCGAACCATCATGTCGGGCAAAGCCACAGCCTCCGGCCTCCGCCATCCTTGTGGCAGAGACAGAGCCCGTGGCAAAGAAAGAGGCGAATCACCACGTCGGGCAAAGCTGCGGCCACCCCCGTCAGAGGCAGAGACGAACCATCATGTCGGGCAAAGTCACGGCCACCTGTCTCCGCCACCCCTGTGGCAAAGAAAGAGTCGAACCATCATGTCGGGCAAAGCCACAGCCTCCGGCCTCCGCCATCCTTGTGGCAGAGACAGAGCCCGTGGCAAAGAAAGAGGCGAATCACCACGTCGGGCAAAGCTGCGGCCACCCCCGTCAGAGGCAGAGACGAACCATCATGTCGGGCAAAGTCACGGCCACCTGTCTCCGCCACCCCTGTGGCAAAGAAAGAGTCGAACCATCATGTCGGGCAAAGCCACAGCCTCCGGCCTCCGCCATCCTTGTGGCAGAGACAGAGCCCGTGGCAAAGAAAGAGGCGAATCACCACGTCGGGCAAAGCTGCGGCCACCCCCGTCAGAGGCAGAGACGAACCATCATGTCGGCAAAGCCGCAGCCTGTCTTCGCCACCCCCGTGGCAGAGACAAAGCCACGGCCACCTGTCTGCGCACCTTCTTGGCAAAGAAAGAGACGAATCAACAATGCCGCCAACTCCCCCGTGGCAGAGACAGAGGCGAGGCTTCCTGTTGGGCAAAGCCACAGCCACCTGTGGGGCATAGCAAGAGGCGAACCATAACGTCGGGCAAAGCCGCAACCGCTTGTCCCAGAGCCGCCACCCCGCAAACAAAGAGGCAAACCATGACGTCAGGCAAACCCGCGGCCGCCAGCCCTGCGGCAGAAACAAAGAGACAGAGGCGAACCATAACGTCGGGCAAAGCCGTCTCCGCCACACCGGTGGCAGACAGAGGCGAACCATCATGTCGGGCAAAGCCACGGCCACCTGTCTCCGCCACCCAGTGGCAAAGACAGAGGCGAACCATAATGTCCCTGTGGCAAAGAAAGAGCCTGTCTCCGCCACCCCCGTGGCAGAGACAGAGGCGAGCCATCATGTCGGGCAAAGCCACCTGTCTCCGCCGCCCCCAGTTGCAGAGACAGAGACGAACCATCATGTCGGGCAAAGTCACGGCCACCTGTCTCCGCCACCCCTGTGGCAAAGAAAGAGGCGAACCATCATGTCGGGAAAAGCCACGGCCGCCTGCCTCCGCCATCCCCGTGGCGGAGACAGAGGCATCATGTCGGGCAAAGCCACGGCCACCTGTCTCCAGCTCCCCCGATGCAAAAAGAAAGGCGAACCACAATGTTGAGCAAAGCCACGGCCGCCTGGCTCCGCCACCCCTTTTGGTGAAGATATGGGTTAGGGCAAACAGCAATTTCCCAGACCACAAACTGCCACCAACCAGAACCATGTCTGGGCAGCCAAATCAAGCTGCCAAGCATTGCCCTGTGTTGGTCGGCAGTGGCCCCTTTGGCTCACGTTGCCCACACAACTGATGCTATCGCAAGCTACCACATGCATGCATTAAAAAAGCACACATGGCTTAATCCTGCTGAACATGCTTCGAGGAGCTCGAACTCCAGTGGCAAGTACAGTGCTGTCTCCATGCAATTCCTCCATCGTTGCCGCATTGCCAGTGATGCTTACGACTGTGGCATCCGATGCCAAGAAGCCAATGGCTCTGCAATTGGAACAGCATTTAGTAAGAAGCGGAAAAAGGCACAAAAAGTAATGCACAACCTCACTGAAGAACCCATCCTGCGAGCGGTTTTTGTTCACCAAGTGTCAGGCATCTTGCGCACCATGCCATGCAACGGCTGTTCATCCATGCTCCACTAGTGCCTGTGCGCACATGATTAATAATGTACGGGAGATCGATAACTCCCTGTGAAACATGGAGCCTGCTTATTAGGCCATCAAATCCATGAAATAGACAAATCCTCACGACGGGCAGATCATGATGCTCTGCGCTGCGTCCAAATGTTTCAGAAATGGCCAGACCCATACCTGCGTATTTCTGTGCTCTCTGTGCTTTGCAGAATCACATGGCTGACTAATCTCAGACACACAAGGCAGGGTCACTGCGCGACTGGGCTACCGCCCGGTGCTGATCCTCCAGTGGCCTGCAAGCATCGATGGGTCTTTCTTTGCAAGCCGCATGGCCGTGCACCATGCTTGGCCCGTCCTGCAACTTCTGCATCTCTGCCGCAAACTTCATCTGGGCCTCACAATGTTAGTTGAAACATGCTGGCACGTATCGCAAGTTTTGCACTGCATAATTTCAGCCTCGATGTGACCTCTTTGTAGCTGCTGCTGCTTTGCCAGCATCTCCTCCTGAGACCTTGGCAGGCAGAAGCTGCGACAGAAGCTGCGACATCCAAAGGCTTGGCACAAGCGTTCATGGAGCAGCACTCCACTTGTGCCAGCTAAGGGATGTTTGGAGGGTTGAAACTATCTGGCCAGTCCGAAGGCATGATTGATTGCATGATAGACAAGATACTGTCCAAGTGCAGTCTTGTTCTATCCAACAAAAATACAAGCTCGGAGAGGCAATGAAGCAAGAACCTTTCTTCTGTGGGTTGGAATGGCACTTCCCGCACTGCTGCAACATATACAGCATAAGGAATTGCAAAAACAATGTTTTAAAATGTCTAAACCACGTGCTTCTCACATCCTCGCCATGGGTGCACTATGGCTGTGGAAACGGCCGTTTTTGCTGGTACTCCATCACCAACTGCATCGCCTGATATGAAAAAAACAACCAGCTGCGATATCCAAAATATCCAACGTCTGGTCGCCCCTACCTGGGTCTCAAGAGCGGCCTTCTGCTGTGCAGACGCCTGCTGCACCTGCATCCAATCCAAGGGGCTCCAATGGGCTCTACGCAGCGAGGCTCCAAAACAAACAAAACAAACATCAAACACATAGAAACACGTAGAAACACATAGAAACACGTTGAAATACTACAAAACACACAAATATCTCGACACCGACACAACTGATGACATGAGCATCAAACATCGACTTTACCGAAGGCTTCCTGGACGCGCCTGCATCAAAGACTGGTTGTACTGTTGGAGCAGCTGCATTTCTTGCTGCTGCACCTGCAGCTTCGCATGATTCACAGCTTCACGGAATCACTGGCCAACGCCGACCATCTGCAATTGACTCGGTGTGTCGTGGTCGACAAAAGGGCAGTCTGCACCTGCTGTTTTATCTGCATCTCCACCTGCTGCTTCTGCTGCTGCGCCTGAACAAGGTGGCAGTCACGGCCACAAAATGGCTGGCACATGGCCTGAGTGTGCAAGTACTCAGACTGCTGCTTTCTTTGCTGGTCCAGGGTGTTCTGGCAAGCATTCAGCTGCGGCACACGTGCTTGCGCTATGCACAGGCCTGGCCCTGTTTCAGCTGTTCATCTAGCAGCCTGCAGCAGACCCTCTTCATTTCAGTCCGTCCGTTGAACGCACGTCCTGATGTATCCTTCCTTCTGCTTCTGAATCACCTATGTCGAAATGTCGAAATGTCAAGAAATGTGGCGAGATGTCCGGTCCCAGCCTCCGGGCTCGGCAAGCCCGGGCTGGGCACCCACGCCTCGGCACATGTGACGCATGTGACGCATGTGACGCATGATTCACCTGCGCCTGTGAGCATGGCAAACGTGCGCCATCCAAGTCTCGTGACGTGCGTGCGTTCCAAGCACGTGACGACTTGAAGGGGAGCAGGTTGCGACGGTGCAGGTGCAGGTCCGGGCCTGAATCATCTCGCCATTCGCGAATCGGATACGTCAAAGCCACGTATCGCAAAGAACAGCTCAGTGACTTAGTCTTCAACGGCGGAACATATGAAGGGACGCGCTGAGCCATGGCCTGAAACGCTGAAGGCCCAAAGGCCTGTCGGAAGCGATTGTGCTGATGTGTTTCGCTCGCAGTGGCTGTGATCAAACTGAACGCATGTGCAAAAAGGCTTTCAAGCAATGACAATTCCTAGCGCTTTGATAGCAAAGCATGGCTGCAGGCTGGGGAATATGAAGCATGCCACCCGAAAGCTCTTAAGCTGTGTGTCAATCTATAGCACGAACACGGCAGACAATGCTATATTATGCTTCGTTGAATCCGAACTATTCATGCTCCTACCCATTACCGGTAAGCACAGAGCGACTCTGGAACAATGTGCCTGACAGCATCTTAGCATGTCCCAATGAGGGCAGCAGCATGCCAAACATGTGCAAGTATGCTTGTCGGAAATACCAGCAGCTCAAGGCTGCCTGCCCTCAAAGAACGGCCTTGTTTTACCATATTATGACTCACCAACCATGTTTATGTTGTGCTTTCCAACCGTTTCCGAGCAAAACCTAAACAACAGTCAATGAAGCTCACTCGCTGGCCACCTCTTAGCAGTGATGGAAAGACAGAGTCTGTGTGTTGGAAATGTGTTGTCATGGCCAAGCATCTGGAATCTCCTGCCTTGTCTAGGGTTACCTTCTGACTTCAACCTACCTCCTGTTTGCAATCTACAAAGTCTTAGACTAGTTTCTTCTATTTCTTGCAGAATACCTTTTTCCAGATTTTGACACAAGGGCAAGGATTGGTGACACCCGTGCTGAACAGCACCAGGCAACAACATGCAGATCCTGAATTGCAATAGCAAAACTGACAGCGCAAAGCTGCCATCTCCATTGCACCAGAATCGCGCGCAGCAGGCACAGAGAAAATCATGCGCGAGGCATTGGCACAAGTTGCGACGAGCTCGTGGAAGTGGGCAGCTTCAGCGCTGTGGTACTGCTCAGTCGCACACTGTGAGGATGGCTGACCTCTGAGCAGGCTACAGGCTGTGCTTCAGAGCTCCCAACGCTAGCGTTGTGCCTGGGCTTCTGCACGAAGATGATCAAGGTGGCTCGACGCCCCTTCTCTTAGTGCTGCAGCTCTTGAGATGCCATCGTGGCCAGTGCTCTCCAGGATGCTGCCGACCTGCTCAAAGTGCAACGGCAACCACCCGTTCTTCAAAGCAGTAAAGTTAGCAGCCTGAAGACCTCAGCGTCCGACTTCATGTGTGGCTCAGGGCAGTTCATTGCCTGCCAAGACAAAGAGGCGTCCCTGTTGCAGGATTGGTCGATTGGTCCCCAAAGAACGCGAGCCTTGTCGCAACTGACAAACCCGAACTGACACCTCCATCTCCACTCTGGCCTTCAGATGTAGCGTAAGCCGCTCATATCATAGTTTGTGCTCACTGATCCGAGGTCACAGCAAAGCGACTTTGGCTTGGGACAAACCACGAAGCCAAACCTGTCTGCAAAGAACCAGAATGCCATGAATGGGAGACAAACACAATCGATGAAAACACTTCCAGTGAAACCCAAGAAGCTCGAAGCTAAAACGGAAGGCCTCCAGTCTGGCTTGCAGCCTGTCAGCACGTGCAAATGCTTGACAAGGCCGGACAAAGCTTGACGCTGCAACCCTGCACAGCCTGCAGACGGTGAACAGTGAATCCAGATTGTGTGGATCTGACAGGGACGGACTTTGGATTCACACAACATAGGGTGCATCCGCTCACGGCCTCAAGCATATGGGTTCCAAGCAGCCAACCTCGACATCCTGCCAGGAATCCAGAACATGGTGACGACGACCAAGAAGACATTGAACGACAAAAATAGTGGTCCTGATGGTCTAGTAAAGACATGCAGAGCTTCTTGGTCAGGTCAGCGACAGAGCACACGTGGACAATGCGTTCAAACCTCATGCGCCACCATGAGAATGCCCAGCAGCGGCAGCATAAATGCAGAAGGGGAGACAAAGCTGAGCGCTTGGCCATTGCGCATCCAGGCGAAAGTCATCTTGGCTTTGTGCCTTTGCTGAATCGCTTGGGCAGTCAGTTCATGCCAACCCTTGCCTGCTGCAACTCTTCCCGGCGATGCTTGAACTCATCACGCACCCTGACAACTGACAAGTGCAACACAGGTGCGGACTTGCAAAAAGGAGAGCTCGGAGAGCACGAAAACTGGCCGAGGCACTTGAGGTAGGAGGTCACAAGCTCTTCGCTGATGCCCACAATGATGGCCATGGC